GGTGCCAGTTTTCCCTATACATGAAGTCAGTACCCCTACCATTTGCCTAGATCAGTACTTCTCAACCTTTTAGGCTAGAGACAGACATTCAAAAAGCCAGAGCCCGATTTGATTCAGTTTTGCAGGTTACTCTAACCTGCAAAGATTGAACTGATTTACAACTACACAGACATTCATGTTTAATTCTGGAAATGCAGTGGCTCAGGCTAGAAGCCAGGGTGCTCTAGAGCAGCCCTCCCTTCCATTTGCAGCAGCCACAAGCATGGGCAACTGGTGCCTCCTGAGTCAGGAGGGCACTTGCCTCCCCAGCAGCAAACCAGCAACCAGTGGGGGAGGGTCCCTTGCGGCAGATTGCACTGATGGGAGGGGAGGAGGGTCCCCCCTCAGCCAGTCACACTGATGGGGGGGGGCCCTGCGGCAGATCACGCTGACTTGGGGGGGCCCCGCAACCAATCATGCCAACCTGGAAGTGGCAGCAGTGTACCACTGGCACTTCAGGGCATACCGCTGGCACTTCTGGGTGGGTGCAATCAGCCATGGGGAGGCCACAGGGATCGCTTCTCCTGGCACCCCCACTCTGGCCGGCGCTCTCAGGTGCGGCACCAGTGCTCTTGCCTGCCCCCCCCCGCCTGGGAACACTGGCTGTCAGGGGGTGCACCAATTCTTTCAGGGGGTGTACATGCACCCCCTAATCATCTCCACTGGCCTCAAGGCTAGAGGGAAGGTGACCTGGGGGGCATGGCCAGGCTCCCCACAGGAGGCAAGTATAATTGTGGAGGGGTTTAAACCCCAACCCTGGCCTGTAGGGGACCCCAGCCAGGCTGTGCTTGGATGGGGAGGGGGAAAGCAACACTTCCCAGGCTTGTCCCTAAGGCCAGACACTAGCTGTGGGGCAGTGTCTCGGGCAAAAGGGGTAAGGCGGTAGGAATTAAACTCCCCTGTCTCCTGGCACAGGACCCCAGTTGGGTTCTGTGCACCTTTCCTCCTGTTCTTGCTCGGGTGGCAGGGGGCCTGGCCAAATCTGGCCAACATGGCCCTGCTATCTGCCTGGGGCTGGGGCTGTAGCTGGGGCTGCGGGGTTGAACCCAGCCAGCCTGTGGGTGTTGCTGAGGGCAGAGGCAGAGAGGCAGCCCAGGCTGGGGCCAAAGGGGCTTTGTAGCTGCCCATGTCCAAGCTGAGTGGAGCTGTTATGGAGCCCCAGCTGGCTGGGTAGGGGCCCACAAGGCAGCCCATGGGGGCAGGGCCCTTCTCAGCCTGCTGCAACTGCATGACAGCCCAGCCCAGCAGCACAGGCGGGGGTTGGCTGGGGAGCGGGCTTCATGGGCCAGCTCAGAGGTGCCAGCCACCCCAATCCCGGCAGCTGCCACCACTGTGCCCCCTGCCCTGTGCAGTACATGGGGCTGCAGCCCCACAAGCAGCAGTGGGCTGGGTGGGGAGCAGGGGGCTGTTCTGCCCCCCTCACCTTCAGCTGCCACAGCTGCAGCCACACTGCAGAACAGTGCACACACACTGCCCCCCCGCCCCGGCCAGTCCATTATTGCTTGTGCAGCTGTAGGTCCGGGTGCTGCATAAAGCAGGAGGTGTGGTGGTGGCAGCTGCGAGACTTGGGGCCTGCCAGTGCCTCTGATCTGGCCCAGGAAGCCCGCTCCCCAGCCAGCCCCCACCTGTGCTGCTGGGCCAGGTCATCACTCAGTTGCAGCAGGCTGGGAAGAGCCCTGCCAGCACAGGCCTCCTACCCAGCCAGCTGGACATGGGGAGCCATGCACCCCTTGCCCTAGCTGCAGCCTGCTGGGAAGGACCTGGACCCAGTGGCCCAGACCCGGCTGGCCCCTCTGCCTCCACCCTCAGCAGTACTTGCTGGCCATCTGGGGTCAGCCCTGCAGCCCCAGCTACTGGCGAGGCAGGTGGATGGCAGGGGCCAGGCCAGCCAGCTCTGGCCATGCTCCCTCCCCTGCCGCTAGATTGGGGAGCGGGGGGGAATGGGTGATAGGGGCCACAGTCCCCTGGTAGGAGAGGTGGAGGAATAAACTTGCTCCCTTTGCCTCAGGGGGCCATACCTCTGGTCACGCCCCTGCCCCTGCTCAGGCTACAGGCCCAGGGCTGCAAATCATGTGGGATGCTGGGGGACTGATTTAACATAAACCCAAAAGGGGTCTTAGACAGACAATGCATAAACCGCTTTGACCCAAATCAGGCAAGTCTGATACTGCATTCAACCAGGTTTATCTTAAACCAGTTTTGGCCATTTTGAAACTGGTTTATGTGCACTGAACTTCTGTTCTGTTACAGGTTTAAACCAGTTTCTGATCACTTAACCCAGTTTATGTGTAACTTGTTGTCCCTGGCCTTAGACTCGAGCATCACCAGAAAATGCCAGCTCTTAGTTTTCACTTGTTTTTTGGCTATGTAAAAATAATGGAGCAGTTTTTCTGTTTGCAAAGAACTCAGAAAGCCAACTATGTCAGAATGCTTTTAATACTGTCAATTCCTATTTGAAATCTTTGGGTTTATCTTGGGAAACATGTCTGCACATCTAACAGTGCTAACATTCTATGGCACCCTTGAAAGGAGTTAAAAGTACCCCAGGGTGCTGCAGCACCCTGGTTGAGTATTAGTGGCTTAGATGGCCTTGTCTTTTCACCTGCCTACTCCTGGTAGTGGCTTTCTATGTACTATTTGCAAACTTTGCATTTATGTAAAATATATTTGCATAATTTTTGCTTTACACCAGTTTCAGCTGTGGGCTTTTTCCTCATTGAATTCAAATGTTGGTATGACAGCAAACCCTTCAAATGGAAGGCAATCTAGAATGGAAGCTTTGGGTTCTTTGCTTAGGCACGCTTGAGTTGCTAATCCCTGTCTATTCATGGGGAAGGACTTATTTGTTTGTTTGAAATGGAGGCAAGTTCTTGCTTCTTATTGTGGGACTTTGAGCTTCTGTGTGGGTTTTGGGGAAGAAATGAACAATAAGCTCAGAAAAGTCTTTAAGGAGCCTCTTGTGCCTGCCTTGAGGATTTAGCTCTGATCATCATCTCCACACTGGGACTCATTAAATTATTGATGGAACACTTTAAGTCCCTAATGCAGTTTTCAGAATAATTTTGATTCCTCTACCCAGATGTGTTTGTTTACTTGAAGAAATAAATGCACCAAAAAAAGGAATTCAACATCATATGGCTATCCGTCCTTAACAAAGGGTTCTGGATTCTATTTTGGGGACCAAGTGCTTAAAGGTTAGCATTGCATCACTTTATTTTTAGATGCCCACATTTTTTTTTGTTGGCTGTACCCCAAAGAAAATATATCCCCTGAAGAAACAGACCAGCATTGACACTGGTTTTATAATTTTATATAGATTTATCATTTAACTAAGGAACCAAATAGTCCCTTAAAAATACAAAACAAAATGAGATCTCTCTTAAGTTCCACTAGTCATAAATCACTCTCCCTTTATTGTGCGAGTCTGTCACTTTGACGGTCCAGTTATTTCTGAGGAAATTGAAGCTCTTGATTTCAGAATGATTTTGCCAGAGTTGTGGTATAACGATGAGTTAGCTAAGGTGGCACACCTGAAAGAAGACAGCTTTACTTTTCATGAGAGAAGTTGACATGTTCCAAGAATTACAAAAAGATTTTGTAGAAACAAGCTGAGCAAATATGATCCTTAGTTTACACATTCATCGAGTTGTCATTTTAGTTATGCTAGTTAGGAGATTTTGCTGTTTCAGAATGATTGCAAATGTAAATGCAAACAATTTATAAATGTTGCTCTTCACAACTATGTTGCTTTCCAATGTCTTTTAATTGACAAATGTCAGTAGTGGTTGTAGCATGCTAGGCCTTTGTATGTTAGTGCATGATTTCCTAGAATCAATATGGGGAGCAGTCAAACTCTATTTGTTTACAGCTGGAATAGTACTGACCCAGATCTAGGGAAGGAAGGCAAACTTTTTTACTTTGGCCACTGTTATTAAGGAGCAGGGGCGGATCAAAAGGGGGTGCAGTGGCACAGCTCCACGGCCCTTTTTGGACGGTACCACACCCTGGGAGCCTCGGGACTGCTTTTAAATCACCAAGGCATGTAAGAATAGACCCTGCACTGGTTCGCAGCAGGGAGCAGCCACCCTTGCAGCACAGGTGGCTGCTCCTGCACCCCCCTTTGCCAAATCCTGGATCCATCCCTGTCAAGAAACACATTTTTGAGGTTATCTCAGGTGGTGTTCACACAATAATGTGCAATATGTTTTCCTATGGTAACAACAACTGTGTAACAGCTGCTATTCTAAGAAAAATATCATTTTGCTCTTCTGAGAAACTCCATGAATAGGTAAAACAGTTTTGCAGCATTAGATCCATGATTTGTTTGGGCATTGACTTGTTGAAATTTGTCTGCGTATATTTCATTACAGGCCAAGGGCCTGTATCTTTCACATTTGTAACACAAGAAAGCAAATACGTGGCGAGTTGTAAATTTACGAGTAATTATACTCTTACAATTGCTGTGATCAAAACCAGATTTTTTGTATTATTTCTGCACATGAATTGTATGTTTTAATAGTTATCTCAGACAAAGGTCATTAATCCACTCTATTGAGGCCGAAATGTTCAAACCATTTTAAAAAATTACTGCTTGTTTTAGTTGTTGAGATATGGAAGTTTTGTCATGAAAGACTAGTTCTAATGAACTTCCACAAGTATTTGATGAAATGACCTGAGGCTCACAAAAGCTTATAGCGTATGATACAAGGTAGTAACATTTATGGGATAATAGTTGTTTTTGTTCTCTTGTGAAAAGTAAATGTTGTAGAACAGCTAGTTACGGATATAGTTCTGTCATTGTGCAAAATTAATGCACGTTCCTGTATGAATAGTAGGTGGTTATTCTGCTGGTGACTGTCTTCTATCTTTTTCTTCAAGGATATTTTCTGGAATGGTGAGGCCCTAGGCCTCTAATATTTTCATAGCCATCTGCAACTTTTATTTTCTTCTTTTTGATTTAGATCTTTTACTTGCTGCAGTCCTACTTGGAATCTAAACACAGGGTTAATTCAGACGTTCAGCGGGAGCTAGATGACATCATTACTTGTATAGAAGCCAAAGTGTGGCTGGCCAAAAGGTATGTTAAAACACTATATGTGAAATCTTACATAAGTTATTAATACATTATAAGGTGGGGAAACTTCTGCTTTTGTTTTTTTTGCAAGACTATCAACATAAATATACCAGAGTTATGTATAACAGAGTTATGTCAAGTCCTACGTATTAATGAAAAATATTTATTATTCTTTTCATTTTAAGAAGTAAAGGAAAAAGTATTAAAGTGTTTTCATTATATTTTCCCATTTCTTTCCTCTATCAGTTTTCCCTTCCCTACATGTGAAATAGGTGGTTTCATTTATATACCACAAAAGGGTCCAAGTACAAATGTGAGCAGTTATCTCTAAGAGCTGAGTAAAGTGCTCAAGGAGAAAAATAATAGCAAAATCTTGAAGAAAGGATAATTATGGTTGCTATCTAGAGATAACAATATGTAAGTTGCAGTCATTGGCATGGCCATGTTGTCCTTACTTTTTCTGGTCAGTTCCCTCACAAAATAATCTAGAAAAGATGTCATAAGTACTTACTAAGCCTGTTAAAAGCTCTGCTTATATGGCCGCTGTCACGGAGTGGGGCCTAGGAGCGGCCGTGATCCCACTAGCACCCCCTGCCGTGCCAATTAGGAGATCCAGCACCCTCTTATTCTCACCCGCCACGTCTTTGATCTTATAATTTAATATGGGAGGCTGCCTTTGATCTCCTAGTATCTATGGGTGACTTGGTGCACACCCCCAGCCTTATGGGCTATGCGTGCCTCCTACCTCCCCTTTAGCACGCCCCAAGCCTCGCAGCTATTCCGGACGTTCTTATGTCGATAAGACCTCGGATGATCCCTCGCCCTCTCCGGGCTCATCCTGCCCTCTCTGGGCCCTGTCTCGCACACCCTGCCCTCTCCGGGCTCGTACCCGCGCGATTGCCCTTCTTCGGACTATCAATGGCGCCAGCCCTGTCCCGGGCGCACGTGCCCTACTTCAGTTTCATGCTGGCCCCTGCCCTTCTCGAGGCTCCCTGGTGTACTCGCCCCTCTACGGGCATTACCTGCGCTTCCCGCACTCACGTCGCCCTGCCGTGGGCTCTGTCCTGTGCCCCTGGCGCTATCACCCTGCTGTGGGCTCTGTCCCGCGCTACTTGCGCCCGTGGCTCTCACTGAGCCTGCACGCCAGCCCTGTCTCGTGCACCCTGCCCTCTCCGGGCTCATACCTGCGCGATCGCCCTTCTTCGGACTATCAATGGTGCCAGCCCTGTCCCGGGCCTTCACCGGCACATGCGCCCGACTTCGGCTTCACGCGGGCCCCTTGCCCTTCTCGGGGCTCCCTGGTGTACTCGCCCTTCTACGGGCGTCACCCATGCTTCCCTCACTCGCGTCACCCTGCTGTGGGCTCTGTCCCGCGCCCCTGGCGCTCTCACCCTGCTGTGGGCTCTGTCCCGCGCCCCTGGCGCTCTCACCCTGCTGTGGGCTCTGCCCCGCGCCCCTGGCGCTCTCACCCTGCTGTGGGCTCTGCCCCGCGCCCCTGGCGCTCTCACCCTGCTGTGGGCTCTGCCCCGCACTACTCGCGCCCGTGGCTCTCACTGAGCCTGCCCCGCGCTACTCGCGCCCGTGGCTCTCACTGAGCCTGCCCCGCGCTACTCGCGCCCGTGGCTCTCACTGAGCCTGCACACCAGCTCTGTCTTGGGCCTTCACCGGCACCGGGGCTCGGGTGGCATATAGCCATGCCTGGCCCCCTGACCCCTCACCAGGGTCCTATGCCCTCACTGGGCCGAGTACCACCCTCACATGCTGGGGTCTCACCCCCACACACCGCACCACATTGGTGCCCAGCCGCCGTGCCTCCCAGGCACTGCTCTGTGCCCCAAACAGGGCACCCAGGAACCTCCCAGACTACTGGGGATCTCCTGTGAGGCCTCCTCACACCCCTACAGCCTCACCCAGTCCTCCGGTGATATACACAACGGAACCATAAGCCATCCGGCTGTAACAAAACAATAAGCCTACCGGCTATAACATAAAATGCAGGCCCACCTGGCTCTCTGGCCAAAGCCTCCCGCTCAGGCTTCTCTCCACCCTTTCTATAATGTAGCCCTCTGGGTGCTCAGGCTGCACTGTTCGACTTAGCTCTCCTGCAGAGCTCCTACACCTCAGGCTGCCAGAAGGGAACTGCTAGCCAGGCTCCAGCCTGGCTGTTTATAAGGGCCCAGCCCTGCCTCCTTCTGGTCACCTGACCAGCCTGGTTACTCCAGCAACCAGCACCTGAGCTGCCCTGGCAAATTAGCAGAGGCCCTAATCCCTACTTAGGCACGGGGCACCCGAGTGCCCCCGTGACAGCCACCAACACTCCTGGATAGTTTAGGATGTTTTTCGTCAGGTTCTCTGCAGAAGAATAATGATGTGGGCTACACACCAGCATGAAGGGATAAAAAGGAATAGCTTATTTATGTAGGTATAAAGTGTCCCTGAACAACGTGTGTGTGTATTAAAAACAAACAAGAAAAACATGACTGCTTTGGATCAAAGGCAGGGGTGGACAAAATGGCAGATCTGGCCAGCGGCTGGACTCCGTTTCCCAGCAACCCCTACCCGTATGGCTAGGGCCTGTTTCCATGGAGACCCCTGCAGCAGCCACACTGTGATAGCACTGGGCCAGGGTTTCTGTGGATACTAGCCCTAGCAGTGCTGGTAGGGCAGGGAGCTGCTCCAAGGCCAGGCTGGGATTTGCAGCAGTGACAGCATGGTCCAGAGCTGGGGCAGAGCCACAATCTGCAGCCGGCATGCTCCAGGCAGGGGCATACAGGCAATGGATCACAGCTCTGCCCTGGCTCTGGACCATGCTGTCACTGCTGCAGGTTGCTGGGGCAGAGCCATGACCCACGGCTCGCATGCCTCTGCCCAGGGCATGCAGGCTGAAGGTCACGGCTCTGCCTCAGCTCTGGACCATGGTGTTACTGCTGCAAGATCCCAGCCTGGCCCGAAGCAGCTCCCTACCCTGCTGTGTACCTGGCCAGTGCTACTCAGGCCCATCTCCACGGAAACCCTGACCCCACACTATCACAGCTGGTTGCTGCTGGGGGTCTCCATGGAAACTGGCCCCACCCACACAGGCAGGGGCTGCTGGGAAATGGATTCCACAGCTGGCCAGATCCTGCCCACAGGCCGGACTTTTTCCACCCCTGATCAAGGCAATAAAAAGACACATACAAATAAAAATAAAAATCAGCTCCTCTACACTTAAAGTAAAAGCTTAAGAGATGGGTTAATTATGGATGGATTTTTGCTTGGTTAACTCTGAGATTCTTTGTGGACAAAATGGACACAACTTGTAAATTAACAACACTAATGAATATTGTTTGCTTGTCTTCTGTCTCTTGGGAGAAAATATTTTCAGGGCTTCTGATTGTTTTAGTACTCTACAGGGTCTTTCTAAGAAATCCTGGAGCCTGGTGGAACTGTATACCAACATGGATATATCTCTAATTCTCTTGAACACAAAAAACACACTTGCACAAATATAAGTCTGCATACTGTTTTCCTTTGTGAATCTGCTCTAAATTTTCCTGATCGTGCACTGGAAATTACAGAGTTAGTTTAACCTGGATTTAGACGTTTTTCTTTTAAATGAATAGAGCACTTATAATTTATACTTGAAAGACGGAATAAGAGTGGTGAAAATTTAAGACCAATTTCTTTTAAACCAGGAATTTTTTTGTATGTTTTCAGTGTAGGGTTTTGGAACACTATGTTAAGTACTAGAGGATTGGTTTTAAAAACTGCAAAACAACTTTTTATCCCGTCATTTACTTGATCTGTGTATCTTTGTTCGCTTAGGGACACCATGATCCAGGTGGAATGTTTTTAACCTAATTGAAATAAGGAAAACATCCATGAAGCATTTGATAACAGAATACAGTTCTAAATATGTTTAAATCTGAAAATAAAAGGGAGAAGATATCTGTTTGCCTTTTCAGCCCTCCTTCCATCTCCTTGAGATAAACAGGTGTTCAGTGTGTCTTGATTAAGAAATAATGTTTGAAATACAGAGCATTTCCTGGGGCTTAATTGAATGCCTTAGGGTTAACTGACTGAGCAGCTCCTTTCAGCCTGTCATTAGTCCCCAGGAAATGCCCTACACCAAGGTCGTTGTTACTATTACAAGATAAAAATGTAAAAACAAATAGGCATATGGATCTTGTTTTGAAGTGCGATTCTGTTTTGATTGGCATGCACGGGATGTTTCCAGAGAATTAATATCCGAAGCACAGTGCGCCGGATCTGCTGCTGGAGTAAAGAGGTGTAGCTCTTTTGCTGTAGATGAAACTGCTGATTTATGTAAAGTGAGAATCTGTTTCTGTATATGCTTATCTCTGCGTTAATCTGGTCTGTCTCTTTATCTCTGTGTTAATCTCTCTCATCTGTCAGCTTTCTTTAGTCTCTAGCCACAATATTCTAACACCACCCAAACATTTAAACACAGAAATAATAATAATCATTCTCTCTCTTCTCATTACTTCCTGGTCTGTAGAAGAAATACCCAGTTACGTTGCTTATTGTATCTCAGCATTGCTGGTTATGATCCTAATTAACCCATGCTGAGTTCAGATATGTATGTGCCTGTTGTCCACAGTCTGCGGATTGAAAACATTAACACAGCATCCTCTTTTGGTGGGATTGCAGGTAATACAGTGGTTTTTGCATTTGTTATTTAAATATACACACGGTTAGGAAAGAAAAACCTCTTCTCCTAAAGGTTTCCAGTTATCTTTAATAGTAACAGGCAATTTTGTCATACTTAAGTCACAGTTTGGACAAAAATTATCTGAGTTCGCTTTCATTTTCCACTATTGCAGATATCTGTCTATTAATGAATCCTTATACAACATTTACCCTGGCCTCCCAGAGGAGCAGCGCCAAGGTATCTATTCCTAATACTTCCTCATGTGCTAGAACACAGGAAGGTTTCATTCTTGTCCTCCAGTTGTGACTCCTTTAAGCAAAAATAGTGGATGATGGTACTAACTCCAGTTTCT